AAAACTTTCTATAAATTTAAATCACCCTATTTATTAGGGAAATCACCCTATTTATTAGGGAAATAATTCGAAATGTTTCTGAAGACATTCTATAAAAAGTTCTTTGTTATAACTCCAATAATTTTGAAAACTTTCTATAAATTTAAATCACCCTATTTATTAGGGAAATGTGACCATAGTTCTAAGTCTCCATAACACAGAATTTTTTTTTGTACCAAAATAATTCGGAAAAAGCTACTACACGTAGTGCATCAATATTTACTCAAAGCTATGAAAACAAATGATATAAAAATGATTACTTACTTTCTCAGTAGAATGTAACTTACACCCTTTCAGGTTTTTCAGAGCTATTTGAAACGCCCGGCATGGCCAGGTGGTTAGGGTGCTTGACTCACGCTCTAATGGTCGCGGGTTTGAATCCCCTGTCCCACCAAACATGCTTGCCCTTTCAGCCGTGGGGGGCGTTATAATGTGACGGTCAATCCCACTATTCGTTGGTAAAAGAGTAGCCCAAGAGTTAGCGGTGGGTGGTGATGACTAGTTGCCTTCCCTCTAGTCTTACACTGCTAAATTAGGGACGGCTAGCGCAGAGAGACCTCGTGTAGCTTTGCGCAAAATTCATAGCAAACTATTTGAAACAGATGAATTTTTGTTTTTACTGTCATTACATCTTATAAACACATGCTTCTTAATCAATGATTAATTATATACTCGACTAAGATCCTAGCATTTAGTTTGTTTGTAGTTAAGCACAAACATACACAATAAGGCCATCTGTGCTCTGCCCATCACGGGTATCGAAACGCGGTTTCTAGTGTTGTAAGTCCGCAGACGTATCACTGTGTCATTGGGGGCGGCACTTCGTTTGCATGTGACTAATATATATTTGCAGAATGCAATAAACGCCATGCATATAGAAACACTCAAGCTATACAACTTTATTCAACGAAATACACATGTCCAAGTACCCGTTTCAAGGCCAAGAAACCCCGTAATTAACAATAAAAACAAGTACCCGTTTCAAGGCCAAGAAACCCTGTAATTAACAATAAAAAAAAAGTACCCGTTTGAAGGCCAAGAAATCCTGTAATTAACAATAAAAATCATGATAAACATCCATGTACAAGTACCCGTTTGACGGCCAAGAAATCCTGTAATTAACAATAAAAATCATGATAAACATCCATGTACAAGTACCCGTTTCAAGGCCAAGAAATCCTGTAATTAACAAAAAAACCATGATAAACATCCACTTACAAGTACCCGTTTCAAGGCCAAGGAACCCCGTAATTAACAATAAAAACAAGTACCCGTTTCAAGGCCAAGAAATCCTGTAATTAACAATAAAAATCATGATAAACATCCACGTACAAGTACCCGTTTCAAGGCCAAGAAACCCCGTAATTAACAATAAAAACAAGTACCCGTTTCAAGGCTAATAAATTCTGTAATTAACAATAAAAATCATGATAATCATCCCAAGTTTAGTAAACATTATAGAAGCGCTAAAGAACTGTGCTATATAAATTTAAATTGTATAGAAAATAAACGTTTCTATAACGATTTCTATAGAGCCATTTTAGATTTTCTAAAGAACTTTCTGCAGAGGGGTTGGGTGTGGGGTGGAATATCTAATTTGGGTGTTTAAAACAGATCATGTGTTATAATGTGTCCATAAGACATATAATCTCAAACTATAAATGTTTTATTTAATTGATACATTTCTGTTTTTAAAACAATGAATTCATTATTTCCCTACCAAACTGAAGTGGCAGAATAAATCACCATCTATCTATTATTTCTATATACATCTGATAACCTCTCTGAAGTAACCATCTATCTAATATTTCCATATATATATCTGATAACCTCTCTATAGCAACCATCTATCCATTATTTCCATATGTATCTGATAACCTATCTGGAGTAACCATCTATCTATTATTTCCATATATATCTGATAACCTCTCTGTAACAATCATCTATCCATTATTTCCATATATATCTGATAACCTCTCTGAAGTAACCATCTATCTATTATTTCCATATATATCTGATAACCTCTCTGAAGTAACCATCTATCCATTATTTCCATATATATCTCAGAGAGATTATCAGATATATATATGGAAATAATGGATAGATGGTTGCTACAGAGAGGTTATCAGATACATATGGAAATAATAGATAGATGGTTACTACAGAGAGGTTATCAGATACATATGGAAATAATAAATAGATGGTTACTTCAGAGAGGTTATCAAATATATATGGAAATAATAGATAGATGTTACTTCAGAGAGGTTATCAGATATATATGGAAATAATGGATAGATGGTTGGTACAGAGAGGTTATCAGATACATATGGAAATAATATATAGATGGTTACTACAGAGAGGTTATCAGATACATATGGAAATAATAAATAGATGGTTGCTACAGAGAGGTTATCGGTTACTTCAGAGAAGTTATCAGATATATATGGAAATAATAGATAGATGGTTACTTTTCTATCTATATTATTTCCACATGTATCTGATAACCTCTCTGAAGTAACCATCTATCCATTATTTCCATATGTA